GTCATCTGTTGGTTGTGCTAGTTCAGCATGCAAATCACTATTGCTCCTGTTTAGTTGAAAGGGGTCCGATTCTATACCAAAATTGTTTGGCAAACTTTCAAGAAAACTATCTGTCCAGAGAAAAAAGTATTAAGAATTAGTGAAAACTGAAAAAGCAAACTTTAATTCAAAATAATAAAATGACATAAATAGCTATTTTACTTGAATAAAATAGAGGAACTTTAGGATCAGAACCTTCAGCATGTATCTGTTCTGCAGCAAGCTGTGATGAGCCAAAGTGAAATCCAGAACTTGGTTGGTAATTATATTCTACATCAACAATCATGCTCATCAGTGGAATATGAAAGGCATTAATGCATTCATCATCCAGAAAACTACCATACATTTTCTAAATTGAACAGATTTACAATTTATGATGTCACAGAACAGACATATTGAAGCTAAACAAGGTTCACCTGATTGAGCATTTCCATGTTCCAATGCCTGTGCACCATCTGAAAGCAATGGTGTATTTGTATATTCTGAAACTGAAAGCACTTGGCAATCATTTGGATGAGAACCAGGACACCTGGAACTGTCAATTTTAGAATTGGACATAATTTCTTCACTCTCTTGGCTTTGGGAATATGGACATGCCACTTGAGCCTCTTTAACACGATCAATATCTTCACTTTTTCCCTGATATAATTTCAGAAAAAGAATATAAGAAAAAAGGGCTCTATGATGAAATTGTTCATCATCTTATTGACAAGAGTAAAGATTACGAAAAGTATTGGATCCCATCTGCTTTTACTAACGTGTACGTCCAGTCCAGCGTCCAGAAACTTATCTTAACATCTGTAATATAACTTGCTTCTGTGACAGTAGACATTGAAGGCTGTAGATATAATTTTTTAACAAGTCCTCACAATGCCGTGATATGAAAGTGTAAGGTTACTTTCCTTCAGAAAAAAGCCACCAAGATAGTGGAACGGGAGGAAAAACATAGCATAAATCTGGCACATGACAAACGGCAACATTTTTATCACACTATGGAAACAACTGTTCATTTTAAAGTACAACTCAACAGCAACCACTCGGATGGTTGGGGATGAGGATACTGGTAAAGAAAAGTAGAAGATGGAGACCGAAAGGAACATCTTTGAAGAAATGAAAGAAAAAAGACCAAGTCCAAGACAAAAGGAGTAAAGACATTCTTGGTTGGAATCAAGGAATAAATTACTTCACATGCCCAAATATAATAAAGCTCTATAGTTACGAATAGTCAAGAGTTGGACCCAACATTAACCATCTGATAGTATATTTCTAACAATATATCTGCATGCTCCTATAAATATTTCCAAATGAAAAAGACAACATAGTATGACATGATATACTACATATCTCACCATAAACACTATGTAATACAGCCACAAATTAGAGTGACAGACTATACCAGAAACCAAAATCAAGTCAATTCCCATAAAAAAAATCTAAGTCAATGAAATCATGTCCTGCTAGCCGAATTTTTGCAAACTCAATGGAAAAATAAAAGGAAAATAAACATAATCAATGTGGGGGTGTCATAACCTGTCCTTAAATGCATAGAATAAAACCTGTTAGTCCTTAATTGGAGGGACTTGATTTAAGAAAGGGAAAGTTGGTGGTTGCATGGCCAATTTCGTAAAAGTTGCTTAGTGGAGTTTGATTGACTAGCACTAGCTTGTCATGTTTACACAATTACACTTGTCTTATACATAAGACAAGTGGCGTGGGAGCTAGTGGAAAATCATTAGCAAAATCCCATGGTCTCATGCATGTTTTGATTTAAACATTTGAGAACTCTTTTACTTTCATTTTCCTTTTACAACAGCGAGAGAGGGAGAGGAGGAAAGGATTGCGAAGGGCAGCTTCTGTTCTCATCTTTTTACGGTGTTTCCTACTTAGCAACTGGTATATATTTATGCTTATGGGCCGACCCAGAGGAGAGTAACAGTTAGGGAGCTGCCGATCAACCAGTGAAGAAATTGAAGGAAATCCAAGGAAGTTCCACCCAGGATAGCAATGGGTTTGTGTGGTAAGTACAAGTTACTGCCTTTGTAGCTTAATTAGATGCAAGATGTTAATTACATGGTTTAAAATGACTCTAGTATTAAGCTAATGCAAGTTAAAGTGGGTTAGAATGCTGTACATAGCTTATTGGTCATGGGTTTTTGACATGCTGGTGGAGATTAAGGATTAGAATCAATAACTTATTGTGTTTGAGAATGTTTATGAATTGTAGACATAATAGACGAAGTTTAATGCTGGCCGTTGTTAAAGATAGCAAGTATATAATAAATCAGCAAATAAACTTGCGAAGGCTAACAGGCTATATATATCGTACCTATGCTGTAACTGGAATGAAGATGGGAGTCCAATTGTATAAAAGTAATAAAGGGATGAAATAGTTATAATAACCAGATTTATAGTCTGCAATTGATTCTATTGAGATAGGGATTTTTGTATTAAGTATTCTAGGCATCTCCATTGTATAAGCATATCAGGTTCACTGGTTATGATGAATGAATATAGACTGCCTATATTCTGTAATCCTATGTTGATACCCAAAAGATGTTATCAGATCTATTTGTTATTGAATGCTTATGATCAAAATGACATGAGTTGTAGTTAAATGACATTCAATGGTCAGTGATGATTATGACTGATACTTATGATCAATGAGGTACAAGATCCTACTGAGAGCATTGAAACATTGTCGCATACAACTTGCATTGCATTGTTTTCTATGGGGTGGGGGGTATTGACCTATGCTAAAAGCTAGGTACTATTGTGCTTAAGTGAGCAGCCATGGTTATTGTTATTGACCAATGCACAGTTGCGTATGCCATGACAAGTTCTGGCAGAATGTGAGTGTACCATATATTGATTAGTTGACCCCATGACATTGTATTTGTATTGAGCACATATCCCTAGAATACTTTCCTTTCATCGAGGTTAAGGTAGTAGACATACTTGCTGAGATTAAGTCTTGAAGCATGAAATGAATGTGCTTGTTTGCTAATAGCTTTATTGATAAGTCCCTGCTTGATGTTTTTTCAATTACTGACGACAGGTTGATTCAGCTAAACCTTCTGTTTTGTATTCTGTTATAACTACAAGCTTATGATGGATTAACCGAATGATCTTCTTAAATTGGTTAAGAGTTCTACCATGGCTCTAAACTGTAACTTATACTTATTGGGCTTCATAGCTCACATGGTTCTTTTTCCAACCATTTCAGATTAGTCCCAAGAGTGGCGTATAACTGGGATTTCTGGAAAATTGGGGGATTTCTGGAAAATTGGGGGATTTCTGGAAATTTGGGAGCTTTCTGTGATTGCTATTGTGAACAAGCTTACTCAAGCCTTTTAAGGTAAACTTGGACCTGCCCAAAACTGTATCCTGGCTCAAAGTTCTTTGAAAACCTATTTGGGTTACTCGTAAAACTATTATACCTTTTCTCTAAAAAGAAGAATTTATTTACTGACCATATGTATAATCTAGACTTTGGAATTACACTGATTTTTCTTGTTTAATCCAATATTTTAAAGTTCAGGCTT